TCTCCTGACCCAACGATTCGATTATTTTCGATACTCAAGAATACACCACGATTCGATTCGATTAATCCATTAATTTTTTTTATTTTTTTTACACCTTACGGGCTAGACAAAGTTTCAAGTTTGAAATAAATCAATGAAAGCTGTAATATTGTTATGCATTTTTTTTTTAGAAACAACAGCAAATAACAGAAGTAGAAAAGTTGCATCAAAAAATACTGCACATAATCAGTGCAATGCAATACCTCGGCTCCAGACGTCACTGAGAGAAGCTCCGCTGCTCCTCTCCCAAATTGTAGCTGACCGCAGACCGTGCCGCAGACAGGAGGCCGGCTTGTGTTGTTTTTATGACCGAAATTGCAGGAAACAACTCGTGAAGTTTGACCCTTTAGAAGAGCGAGGTGAGCGAGAACGCTGGGACCATTTTTCCACCTGGATCTCCGCTCTTTTTGGCCCTCATGTCCCTCCGTCGTCAGACTAAACTCGCCCCCACTTCCTCGCCGCCTCGGCCGTATCTAGACCCACAGCGTGTAGCTCAGACCACGCTTCAATATGGAGCATAATTTAAAAATGTCTGTGTCAAGCTTATCATAACGCACTGCTGTAAAAGTATAACCAGGAAGCGAGGTAGGAGGGCAAAATAGGTTTAGCGCCACCGCAGCACGGGAGGGAGAATTACGCCCAGGAGCAAATGGATAAAAAAAAAAACATGAATCGATTCTCTTGCGGACGTGTCGATGCATCGGATCGTCGGCTGTTGGATCGATGCATCGATACAAAACTATTATTATTTACACCCCTACTTAATAAAAAATATATATATATATATATATATATATATATATATATATATATATATATCTTCTGCTTATTGAGCCGATGTAACAAGTTTATTTCTCTACTGTTAGATTAATAAAATGAGTCATCAATCAACCGATAGCAGGTGTGGAGCTCGGGTGAATACTTTTGTGTAACGAATGCTCACATTCAGGTTTATATAAGAATAGAATGTAAAATTATTTCTGCCATCATATGTCTGTGTTATCCAGTTAACAATTAATCAATTACTTAATAAGTTAGTGAATTTTACAATCATTGGTAAATTCTGATTAATCTGTAGTCCTTCCACTTCAATTGTTCAATATCCATCCTAGTTATGAATACTTAAACTTAGTGAACGTCTAACTCCTATTTTTGGACTTGACAAGACATTAAAGAGTAACTGAGGTGTTAGATGTTTTAAGCTTCTAGGAAGAGAGAACATTTAGATCATTGGTTTTGGCTTAAACTTAGATAAAAGTTTGCCCTTTGTTTTAATATCTCCCCAACTGTTATTTATGCAGACGATGGGAAATCTGCCGACTGAAACTCAAGAATCTAAACTTATCCGGCCTCAACCAGGTAAGCTTCTCCAAACATAAAGTTAGATTTAAAAAATAACCTATGGTGACAAAGCTAAAATATCTGGTCACTAACATTTCTCAAAAGAGCCTGTTGGCTTATAAGCTAGCATGTGAAAAGTTTAATCTACATTAACTTCTTGACAGAAGAAGATGGTAAATATAAACTAGATGCATGTCTCTCTTATCTTTGTTTTTAAAAACTTGTAAACAAAAGAAAGACACTGCAGCTGTTTGTTTTATGGGTTAAAAGGGAAGATTCACACTGCTGGGTTTGGCTTTTCTACATTCCTTTCACTCTGTTTTTGGTTTATAAGTGACAACAGATGAAACCTGGAGGGGATTATTATTCTGTGCTATAAAACATTCTGGAATTAGTTCTTTTCTCATACAGTAAAGATTATTTAGAGGTAATTTTTCTGGTATCTCTATTCTATTCTTTTTGCATTTCTTCTCTTTACCTTTCTCTTTATTTTGCTATACGCAGGTATCTGTGTGAAGACATCCTCTGAGCCAGGAAAGGAGAAAGTTTTCATAAATATCTGCCAGTCAAACTCTGTCCCATGCCCGCCCGAACTCTCCAGAGAGGAACTTGTACAGCTGCTCCAATCAGAGGATCCCAGCGGCTACAGAGTTCCTATGAGCCTCGGGGAGCCGCACACAGAAGTTGACAACAGTATGTAACAGAAACAGGAGCCTGCAGATGTTAAAAGTTTACTGGGAAAATGTTTTCTTAGTTCTTATTTTTAGCTGCTGGCATTTTATTCTTTCTGTTTCTTTACTAGCCCCATGAAGTCATGTAGTTGAAGGGGAATATGTATTTGTACATCTGGGTTCAGTCAGTCAGACATGATCATTGGACAAAAAGAAAGAAAAGAATACTAAAAATATCAGTGTTTGCGTTTATTTGTCAAACTATAATAAGAAACAGGAAAAGTAACTGATCAGTCTAAATCCATGCTTCAGTCCTTCATATATATATATATATATATATATATATATATATATATATATATATATATATATATATATATATATATATATATACAAGGGGTGGAACGGTGGAAATCCCCCCAAAAATAATGGATTGTAATTATTTTAAATGATCCGCGGAAACCCTGAATCATTTCTGTATGTTTTGCTGCTTTGAATTTAATCATCTCGCGCATGCTTTCTACCATCTCCAAGGGACTCAGAGCAGAGCGGACGGGAGTCACAGTGGAGGCTTTAGGCTTTGCTTTGAGCAGCCGGTCTGGAGTGCAGCGGGGCGGAGCGGGGGTTGCTGACGGAGTATGAGGGATTTCGGGGTTAGCATGACCTGTTGGTCATGTTGCTGTTAGCATAAACAAAACGTGTTGCACAATGCTTGCACACTGTTGCACTTTTATCCACAACTTTCTTTCCGCCGTCATCGTAGGTCACTCTAAATGCAAAGCGGTCCCATACAGCAGACCTATAAAGTGCTGCTGGCGCGTCTTCCAACTCCTATTCTTTCCCTCTCGCCATACCCACACAATTCTCCACAACTGATTTTTTTCCCTGCTACCCGGCTACGCTGCTTCACTTCTTCTTCATCTTGTTTACTACTGGTGGTTGGCTTTGGTCGCAGTACCGCCCCCTTCTGCTCTGGAGTGTAAACGCTTCCCCTATGAGAAAAAGGAGCAGCGCATGAACCGAACGAAACACACGCGAATCGAACTGAACGGTTCAGACGGTTTTCATAAATCGTCCCATCCCTATTATATATATATATATATATATATATATATATATATATATATATATATATATATATATATATATATATATATATATATATATATATATATATATATATATATATATATATATATATATATATAATGTTTGTGTATATATGTATATATACATATGTGTGTATATATGTACACTATATTGCCAAAAGTATTTGCTCACCCATCCAAATTATTGGAATCAGGTGTTCCAATCACTTCCATGGCCACAGGTGTATAAATTCAAGCACCTAGGCATGCAGACTGTTTTTACAAACATTTGTGAAAGAATGGGTCGCTCTCAGGAGCTCAGTGAATTCCAGCGTGGAACTGTGATAGGATGCCACCTGTGCAACAAATCCAGTCGTGAAATTTCCTCGCTCCTAAATATTCCACAGTCAACTGTCAGCTGTATTATAAGAAAATGGAAGTGTTTGGGAACGACAGCAACTCAGCCACGAAGTGGTAGGCCACGTAAACTGACGGAGCGGGGTCAGCGGATGCTGACGCGCATAGTGCGAAGAGGTCGCCAACTTTCTGCAGAGTCAATCACTACAGACCTCCAAACTTCATGTGGCCTTCAGATTAGCTCAAGAACAGTGCGCAGAGAGCTTCATGGAATGGGTTTCCATGGTCGAGCAGCTGCATCCAAGCCATACATCACCAAGTGCAATGCAAAGCGTCGGATGCGGTGGTGTAAAGCACGCCGCCACTGGACTCTAGAGCAGTGGAGACGCGTTCTCTGGAGTGACGAATCGCGCTTCTCCATCTGGCAATCTGATGGACGGGTCTGGGTTTGGCGGTTGCCAGGAGAACGGTACTTGTCTGACTGCATTGTGCCAAGTGTAAAGTTTGGTGGAGGGGGGATTATGGTGTGGGGTTGTTTTTCAGGAGCTGGGCTTGGCCCCTTAGTTCCAGTGAAAGGAACTCTGAATGCTTCAGCATACCAAGACATTTTGGACAATTCCATGCTCCCAACTTTGTGGGAACAGTTTGGAGCTGGCCCCTTCCTCTTCCAACATGACTGTGCACCAGTGCACAAAGCAAGGTCCATAAAGACATGGATGACAGAGTCTGGTGTGGATGAACTTGACTGGCCTGCACAGAGTCCTGACCTCAACCCGATAGAACACCTTTGGGATGAATTAGAGCGGAGACTGAGAGCCAGGCCTTCTCGTCCAACATCAGTGTGCGACCTCACAAATGCGCTTCTGGAAGAATGGTCAAAAATTCCCATAAACACACTCCTAAACCTTGTGGACAGCCTTCCCAGAAGAGTTGAAGCTGTTCTAGCTGCAAAGGGTGGACCGACGTCATATTGAACCCTATGGATTAGGAACGGGATGTCACTTAAGCTCATATGTGAGTCAAGGCAGGTGAGCAAATACTTTTGGCAATATAGTGTATATGTATATTCTTTTGTCGTTGTGGATTTTCCGTATATTTAGCTCAGCTAATTAAAGGCTTTTCTACAGCATGTTACTGGTGGCATGTTTTTCAGAACATGTTAAAAACTAAAATATGGCTGTTATTGAAGATTGAGTGGATGTTTGGATGTGTGCAGTCTAATAAAAGGCCTTTCAAATATAACTATGGAAAATCAGAATAATGCAATCATAGTTTTTTTCTTTTTTTTCCTCCATATTCTGCACCAAAAACGTGCAAACCCTAGAGATTTTTTGCAGCTCAACCTCGTAAAACCCACACATATTTGGTCTAAATGCACCGACTGCACATAGATTGCACTTTTAAGTTGCACGCAAGGCCAATTATTGATGGCTGTACGTCTTCTGTGACTGTTGCTCTTGGTTACCGCATAGTGTCAGAAGAGATGGGAAAGCAGTAGGGTTGGGGAATTGATAAGATTTTCACAATTCCGATTCTCTTATCGATTCTGTGAACAATGAACTTGGTAAGTGCACGGTGACATTCGTCTACCTTCGCTTGGGACGTTCTATTTCTGCCTGCCTCGGCAAAAACAGAAGGCAGTGAATGGGAGCTGCCAGCCTCTGAGCCAGCCAGGCTACCCGTCTCCTCACAGTCATCTAAATCTAATGGATAAGGCATCCGTTTAATGAAAAAGCATTACTGTACAATTTCAGGAAATAAACTTATCTCCCCCTTCGTAGCATGTTTCGTTACATCCTATGCAATAGGTAGAATCATGTAAGAATTCCAGCTACCAGTCGTTCTAATTAAACATGCTAGTAATGAAGGGCTGGATTATCCAGGAAGACTCCCTTAATAACCCCAAAGAGAGGTAGGTAATTGGTTTATTTCCAGAAATGGCAGATGATGTACTAGGAACCACTTTAAGCACAGCCAGTCATATAGTTGCCTTCAATGTTGGTCATAACTTTAGCTTCTGTCCGGAAGCATCAAAAACACAGCATTCATTAAAATGTAAGCCATGTTGTGTGCGCAGGGGTTTCTGCATGTTGGATGTATTTCCTCCCGCGGATGTAATTGCCAAATTGCAATGATTGCAAAGCAACTTGTTGCCATCTTTCTCTTCCTTAAAATGAAGCCAAACATTTGATCGGTTTATGCGATGGGACGCAATTTTTTTTGTTTTTTGTTTCTAAACTTATGCCTGGTCACGTCATACTTGCTTAGATGACATTAAAACAGCACAACTTTTAGCCACTAGGGGCACTATATTGGTGACCTCCAGGTTTAGACCCAGGTTTTTAGCAACTGAAAACATGCACTGTCATCAACATGTTTTGGAATCTGATAGACCAGTTTAGATCAGCAGATTGAGAGATCATGGACTTACTGGTAAATTCAATGGCCACCTTCATCCCTCTAGATTAAATGGAACCAAATATATTTATGATTGGGTTACGACTTAAGTCGTTTCAAGGATAAAAAGTTTTGGTGTCATTGACTTGTATTCAAGCACAGTATCGATAAACACCCTGTGTTTATATTGACCTGAAAAACAATGTAATATCTTTTTAAATTTCGCTAATATTTAAGTCACAAGTTACACAATGGGCTTCAAGCTGTACTTTTGGCCATAATGTGAGCTAAAGCTGTAATTCAGGGAACCAGAGCGGCAACATGTGGAACTGGAATGAGGACACTTCAGGAAGCAAACACCCATCCTTAACGACTAGGCCAAGACCTCCCGCTGCTGCTGTATTTTCGAAATGACTCAATCTTAGTCTTGGTTGTCCAGAAACGTTAGTTTACTCATGTCCGTTTTGGCAAGCAGCTTTCTGGCTTTTCTACAGCTGAGTCAGCAATGAGTCCCAGGTTCTCCAGGCTCCTTCGGTACCATTTCAGTTCATTGAAATGCCCTCAGGAACTGATGGACCCTGAGTCTACAGCATGGCTTGAATTACTTTAAGAACTTGATATTAGCTGCTGATCCACCATCCGGACTATCCTTCAGCCTTAAATCAATATTTCTCTTCCTTCCTTGATTAATGAATTAATCTGAAGTCTACATCGTTTAACTAACCATTAATTGATGGGCATCAATTTTTATTAAAAACCTCAGATTTCTCTTGTATTATGAAAATCTTGTTTTCATTAAATAAATGGACAAGTATTATTATTTTTTTACAACATGCTTGTTAAAAAAAAAGCTGTACATAATTAGTCTATTTTTTACTTTACCGTGCATGTATTACATACCCAATAGACTAAAACTGAATAAACAAAACAAAAATGTTCTTACATGCTATTAAATAGACACATTTAGAAGATATGAGGGGTTGTAGTGATAGAGAGAAACAACTTTTTTTCTTTCATCTTCATCTGTTTCCTTTTTTATTTTTACATCATATTTCCTTATTTCACCCTCTCCCATTTCTATAATTTTCTCCTTTTTTTAGTTGAGAGGGACCGCTTATATCTTCCCTGTAATTTCCCAAAATCATAATGACCCATTCTGACGTTTTACTGAACCACCTGT